AGTCTTTCTTCCAGGTATAATTATTGTTCTACTAATAATGTTTAATTAACTTTACTTTTCGCAGTCCCATAAATGATGTCAATTGTTGATTTATACAAGGGCGGAGACATAAACTTTTTTATGGGTGTGTTAACTAAAAAAATATCCTAAAATCAAAGGACATTTTTTTTGCTACATATAGATTGTATACAAAAATTTAAGTTTAATTTTTTTTTATTCATATACTTTAAAATTTGCTTGGTATAAACTCAATACACTTCACAATTGCAAATTGCAAAAAATTATAATAAATCATCCGATTTCACATATATTTAGATGCAAACATAAGGAGAAGATAGAAAACTTAATACATGGACTATCTTAACTACAATCACGCAACTAGCAAAACAAAACAATGAAAGGAGAAGTAAAGGCAATCTTAAAAAAATTGATTGAAAATAACATAAAGCCCACTGAATAAAAAAAAAAATTATTCTTGCACTTTTTTTTGTCTATTGTATAAGGCTATACACCTAAAATACATACATATTGTTACAAATTTTCCCTGAGCTACAGCCCACCGTAGCTTCTTCAGAGGATGTATATTTTTTTATTAATAAAAAGGGAGAAGGGGAGGCTCCATCTCAAGTTTAAGGAGTACCACAAACGTGTTCGAGAACACACAGAGAATTTTGACCGCTTTTTTTAATTTTTACAAATAACAGACCAAAAGATATTGCCCAACATGGTCCCAAGTTTAGCGAAGAGGAGCATATCATGCTTCAATTTTTTTTATTTTTTGTGGACCCTACGATTTAGATTGGAAGAATGATGACGAAGGATCGAAAGGAGCCCACATTTTGGGTTGTTGTGTTTGTGTCTACATGGTACAACTTGTTATCATTTAATATCCAATTAATTAGAATCATATCATCAAGTACATGTGGGAGCATTTTTATTTAGAAATTTTAACGAAAAGTTTTCGGTACTGTTTGTTTTAACAAAAAACTACATTTTTACATTAAAAAAATCAATTATGATACTATTGACTTTACCCTTTATTTTGTCCTTATCGTTAAAACTCAAAGTTTTCAAACTATTTTAATTAGTTTTCCTTTTTTACTTACCACTATAATTATTGTATATGTTTATCATACACTTACTCATTTGTTATGTGTTATTTCATTTAATTCTATTGAATTTTCACATTAAATTTCACTTTTTCAATTTTAAAAAACGCTAACCAAGATTAAATGAAATGATACATGATATATGATTAAGTGTAAGGTGAGAATACACTAAAGTTTAAGATGATAAGAAAAATGGCTCTCAGTACAGATAACGGGGAAGTGCCACTCGTCAACCGGATCTTGCACCAAGTGTCTCTGACCATACCTCAACTCTTCACCAATGATTACAGCACAAATTAAATTATAAAACTAAATGGAGATTAGAGAGAAGAGAACACAAATGATGTAAAAGTCAACTCTTGCAGCGCCTGACAAAACCGTTTTTCAAATTAACACTTCATTGGGTGCAAAAGGACCAGATTGCCCTTCAAGTTCTAACATATTCCAAGCCTCAAATGAATAAATAAAGCTCTAACATGTTCAAGGCTTTCTGAATTGACCAAAATGACCTGCAGTAATGCAAGAGAAGTCACCTTTGAGAGCAAGTCCAGCCCTAGCAGAATGGGCTGGCACCAAGTGAAGAAAATGGCCCGGCCTGCAGTGAAGTTGCTCCAGCCCGCGAAATTGACTGGCACCCAGCCCGTGCCAGTCAAGAGCCCAGCCCAAAATGGACAGACCCAGAGGCCGGTCCGTTTATTGGCGCGTATTTTTTAGACTGGGTGGAGATCTAGAGGCCGGTCCGTTTATTGGCGCGTATTTTTTAGCCAGCGCATTTTGTAGGGGTGGAGATCGTTTGTGCCAGCGCATTTTTTAGACTGGGTGGCAGCACATTTTTTTTGGGGTGGAGATGCTTTGGTCTATTACTGTTCATTGGGTCTATTACTATTCAATTAAGTGGATAAATGCGCTGGGTGCTGGCGCAAAGTGGATAGGGGTGGAGTTGCTCTGATAGGAGTAGTTGAAACTTGAAATGACCATCTAAATGCATGACACAAGCGAATGATTTCTGCAATCCATTTTTTTCTCCGACATTAAATTTCTTTTTTATTTATTCAGTTGAATAAGTCAAAGACAAAATAAGAATGTAGAACGAGAAAACAAGAGTGAAAATTACTGCCCAAACAACCGAATACGATAACAAGAGCAAGATGATCTTTTTCCACAATTTGACCAGTTAGGTTAGTTCAATGGTATTTTCCGAAATTCGAGATGAAATATTGGACATTTACGTCATTTCATCTTTACCACAAGCTGCCTCGTCTCATATTAAAAGCCTTCACACCAGCTGCTTCCATTTGAAAAATGAGAGACAAACTCAGTTCCCCTGAATCTTCATCTTATAGAATGATGAGAATTCAGCATCTCAGATTTGTATGTGTGGCCTTCATGATCATGCTTATGATCAGTCAGATATCGAGTTATCATCGCAACGATGGAATGAAATTTGAAGGAGCCAAGAAAACTGAAAAAACTGGATTCTACTCCAGAAATTCATGGTATGTCTCCAGAGAAGCTCCAGAGGAGGGATCTCGTGTGACCGACCGAGTTACCCGCGTTTCCCTACGAGAAGTTCCACAGGGACCAAACCCACTTCACAACTGATCACCCTTCTTGCAACTATATTTGTGTATTCTCAGTCATACAGTATTATTTTTGCAGCTTCTGGTCTAAATCATTTCCTTTTTTTTCTAGTGAAAAATGTTAGGAGTGAATGTAGTTCATGAAGAAAGTGTGTAATTCTGTAAACAGTTTTGGATTCAAAGGATTAAAAGCTATTAGCATGCACATATAATCTGCACTTGATTTCTGGAGATTTTGCAAATGTTCTCGGGAGTAAAATTATTATTTTCTTTAGCACATGAAAAATACTATTCTAAATGAACAAAACAATATTAAAAATATATAGCAACCGGTCGATTGCTCTGCCCCTGGTGGCGCATAGGGTCTTTCCTTTCCAATCCACTACGGCTCAGATTCAAAAGCTTCCCTGAATTTACTATAGCTCATATTAGTAATATCGCTTGTAACAAAAAGAAAAAGTTAATTAAGAAATAGCCTATATGGTCTTTCTTTTCCAATCTACTACAGCTCTTGTTTCTTGGTCTTTCTTTTCAAATCCACTACGGCTCTTGTTTCAAATTCTTCCCTCATTTTGTTGTAGCCCATGTTAGTAATATGGCTTGTAATTAAAAAATAAATAAATAATTAGTAATCAGTTGATATGGTCTTTCTTTTCCAATCCACTGTGGCTCACATTCAAACATTTCCCTCATTTTAATGTAGCTCATATTAGTAATATCTTACGATAAAAAAAATTTTAATTAAGAATTAATGGATAGGGTCTTTATTTTCCAATCCACTATAGCTCGGATTCAAACTCTTCCTTATTTTAGTGTTGCTCAGATCAGTAATATTGCTTGTAAAAAAAATATTTTAAATTAGGAATCAGTGGATAGGGACTTTCTTTTCCAAACCACTACGGCTCGGATTCAAACCCTTTCCTCATTTTTGTGTTTTTCAGATCAATAATATCGCTTGTAATAAAAAAATAATAAATTAGGAATCAGTGGATATGGTCTTTCTTTTCCAATCAATACGGATTCAAACTCTTCTCTCATTTAAGTGTAGCTCATATCAGTAATATTACTTGTAATAAAAAAAAAAAATTAATTAGGAATCAGTGTATGGATCTTTCTTTTCTAATCCATTATGACTATGATTCAAACTCTTCCCTCATTTTAGTATAGCTCAGATCAGTAATATCACTTGTAATAAAAAAAAATTAAAATTAGAAATCAATGGATATGATCTTCTTTTTTCTTTTTCCAATCCACTACGGCTCGGATTCAAACTCTTCCCTCATTTTAATTTAGCTCATATTAGTCATATTGCTTGTAATAAAACAATTAAAAATTAGGAATCATTGGACAGGGTCTTTATTTTCCAAACCACTATGGCTCGAATTCACACCCTTCTCTCATTTTAGTGTAGCTCAAAATAGTAATATCACTTGTAACAAAAAGAGTTTAAAATTAAAAATCAATGAATGGGCCTTTCTTTTCCAATCCACTACAACTCAGATTCAAACTCTTCCCTCAATTTAGTGTAACTCATATTAGTAATATCGGTTGTAATAAAAAAATTAAAAATTAGGAATCATTGAATAAGGTCTTTCTTTTCCAATCTATGATGGCTCAGATTTAAACCCTTCTCTCATTTTAGTGTAACTCAGATCAGTAATATCACTTGGAAAAAAAAAAAAAAATTAAGAATCAGCGGATTGGGTCTTTCTTTTCAAATCCTACTACTCGGATTCAAGCTCTTCCCTCATTTTAGTGTAGCTCAGATTAGTAATATGACTTGTAATAAAAAAAAAAAATTTCTAAAATTGGGAATCAGTGGATAGGGTCTTCCTTTTCCAATCCACTACTGCTCAGATTCAAGCCCTTCCCTCATTTTAGTGTAGCTCAGATTAGTAATATCACTTGTAATAATAATAATAATAATAATAATAATAATAATAATAATAATAAAATAAAATAAAAAATAAAAAAAAATTAAAAAAAAAAAAGAAGCTTAAATTTAGGAATCAAAGAGTTGTAAGAAAAAAGGTGAGAACCAACAAACCAAGTTCTTGCCGGAAAGGTTGTTTTTTTCAAAGTACAAGACTTGTCAAGACATGACTAGGTAACTGGAGTTGCGTCGACAACAAGAAGTTGTTAACATAAGAAGTGAACATGCAAACACGTAATTGATTTTGGCTTGAATTTGGTGGAACACAATTTGGATTCTTATGGAGTATAAAATAATCTGAAATGCATAATATTAATAATTTAGTTGCATATTATTATGCGTTTTTAGTTTTTTTCTGTAACGAAGTCAAACAATGCATTTGGAAGGATCCTATAAGTCATTCAGAAACCAGATAGAAGGTTAATGTTGCAAGCAACAAGCGCTATGGAAGTTTGACTGATAAATCATTCAAGATACAAGAAAAAATACGTACATTCCTACAGTACAATGCACAATTTTCGCTTGTAATCCCGAAGAATTGGACGGATTAGATTAATGTAATCCCGTACGAGGATTTTGAAGAAGACGGAGTGAGTACCTGGTTGAAGGAACAAAGATGGAGAAACCAGCTTGCATACTTAGTGCTTGAATTAAACAGATTGAGCAAGAATGCATGCTCAAAACCCTGCAGGGACACATATGAATATTATGAGATGTACCTCTTTTCGTATACTCTTCGGTTTTGATGAATAAGGGTAACAAACCTCACAGGATCCTCTCTACATAATCTCATTGCCAACTGGATGAACTGAAAAATGAACAGAAACTGTTTTCCGAGTGATTTGCTCGAATTTCGACTTCCATATCTGCAGTTTGGTAAAATTTCCGAATGTTAGAGATTTGTTGGTTGAATGAAACAGAGACAAACCTAGAACTACGATCCCAAAATGTGTCTCGAACCTTAAATTAGCCGGAGATCATAATTATAAATATAAAAACGACGCTGAAAGAACAAAAAGAGCTAAGAATGTAGCCAAAAGATTGGGAAGAACGGTATTTTTCATCATGTAAGATTAGATAAAAATGCACTCGTGATAAGAGAGTTCATGCCACAGTGGATGGGGAAAATTGGATTCAAGTACATTACTTACTTTTTTGTATTCTGAGCTTCCCATGAATATCTCAAAAGCGTCAACTACAAGTTATACAGTGAATGAAAGTTATCAAAGTGAAGGCAGCATGTATCTGAATCTAAATAAGGCAACGAGCGCTCACAGGACCGAAATCTGATCACTACTCCATGTGTATACTCCTTGCTGCTGAGATTAAGATTCAGACCTGCAAACGAAAGAGTAACAAGTTACCATAGGGATACTTCGTAACAAAAATACGAATTTTTCCACTATTTCACCAGAATAAATGTTATATAAACACAACCAAAACAACCTAGAAACAAGAGTTGACAAAATCGAGATGCCTTGTTTTAGGGTTCAAGTGAATTATTTTCCACGAAGAGTGAAAAGTATAAAGAGATGGCTTTTAGCTCAAGCAAACCTCGAGTAGATTGGACAATCAAGGATGGAAATCCCACAATCAGTTCTTCCAAAGAAACCAATGCCTCTTCCACATGTCCAGATGCACTATCAACAAACGATAGCAGAAGCACAAATTCCACACCGAAGTTGAATTCCTGCTTGCAAGAGTAGTTAGCATAGCATTCCCTTTCGAGATTTCTTTTACACCCAAAACCGACAAACATAAATCATATGGATATATTAAGATGCGGAATGAGAATTCAAAAGTTTGATCCCAGCCAATTTAGTTAAAAGGGATAGTAAAATTTAATTGACAGTAAGCAAGTCCTGTATAATCGCAAGCATTTACACTCTTTTCTGCATGTGCATTATGTAGTCCCCAATCCCAATAGGATTGTATTGCATAAATAAAACAAAAACCAGTAAGGATGTCGTTTCAAACCTCTCCTTTGCGGAATATTGGAACAATGTCATCTTCTACTTCAGATTCGTAGTGGACATTAAGCAATTCCTGTGTATGTACCATAAATTCCAGTCCAATAAGTTGAAAAAATTGTTAAATGCAAAATTAACAAAAATCGAAGCCTAAAGAACAGAGTGTCGGTGTTTACATGTCAGGGCATACATGGCAGTAAGGGAAGACATGCTCCTTGAGAACTCGCATGTAGAAGGGGTTCTCATAAAACTTGCCAATGTCTTCTTTTCTCTGGAAACGCATGTAGACAGCATGGGTATACTTGTCAGGGTTTTGATCAGAGACACGTCCTATATGAGCGATTGAGAACATATAAGCCCTTGTAATAGTGCAAATCGGACACAGAAAAGCCACCAAAATCAACCAAGTATTTTGAGTAAAACTCACCTAGTGATATTGCGAGAATGCCTCGCATTTGATACTGGGTTGTGTAGAGATAATCCAGCATATCCTTCTCTTCTTCATCAGATAAATCCTGCTTCGCTTTGAGCAGGCTTACGTGTTCCACAATTTTCCTGTGGAAAGTACAAGATCATTACGTTTGCATGTAAAAACAGGTGAATGCATTAGCTGACCACATTAAGTGACAATTGATAATGTCTAGTAACACCACATGACCACAGATGTTCTGACCACATTATGCGACAGTTGACGTGTCTGATAATAACCAGACATAATAACTTTCGTAAAACAAGTGAATCCACCTTCTACACGACATGATTGTATGATGTGATACAAGATGCAATTCAAAACATAGAACTGTGAAAGATGGGCTCTCCACGCCAATGAAGCTCCTTCGAAATTCAACCCCACCAAGCCAATCTCAATTTTACGTGAAAAAATAAAAGTTCAGAACACGAATAGGATTATAATGACAACAATTGGAAGAGTTATGAACCTTTTCTTCTGCACATTGAGGCTCGAGCTCTGCTCCTCCGTAGCCGAAACCAACACTCCCCCATTCTTTTTCTTCCCCAGCCATGTTCTCACAACTCCGTACGATCGGAAAACTGACCATAGATAATAAAATTGCACCAAAAAATCCCAAGAAAAAAAACACTGAAGAACAAAGAACAAAAAATCGAGTCGAAACCAAAAAATTCGTATTACCGTTAAAAGGGGCAGGGCGGGGAATGAGAAGGCACCGGCCACGGGGGTTTGTGAGGCGAATGGGAGAGAGTACGGAGCATTGAGATTGAATGAGCATCGTGGCGTTGCGCGATCCTGTGGTTCCTGTGCCTTTACCTTCTGCGAGTCTTGTGAGTGTGGGTTATATCAAATTAGGGGGACGATCTCTTCCGGTATAAAATGGGTGGACAGGGAAATAAACGAACTTTTAAATTTGTGGGTTTAAAATTGGCGCTTAGTTATTGAAGTTACCAAATTGCCCTTTCGGGAACTATTATTATTTAGTACTAGAATATGAGCATACACGAAGTGTGTGAGAAAATTTTTTATTTTTGTTTTTGAAATAGAAGGAGAGAGTAAGAGAGTGACAGAGGGTTAAACTGGTTATTAAAGTTACCATATTTCTTATTTATGTTCTGTTTTCATTAGAGGGTTAAACTGGTAATTTTCGTAGGTTTTTAGTTGACAATGAGTGTTTTATTAATTAGTAGAGATATGATGTATTTTTAACAAGATGATAATGTATATTCCAAACTATTATAACTTATGAGATGGGGAATCCCAACTAGTTGTACAATGAAGAAGTGACCACATTACACTCACTACTAACTGACCTAACCAATATCTACAACGTTCAATGTTTTAAAAAACTTGCATTGGGGTGTGCCTAGGCAGCCTTAGAGGTGGGGTGGCAACATTTTCGCCTTTGTTTTTTGGGAGTTGGCAAAATACTCACCTAGGCTTCATGGGGTGCGCGAGGCGGGGCGACAACATTTTTGCCTCTGTTTTTTGGGAGTTTGCAAAATTTGGAATTCTCTTGAGTTGTAGAGTTTGCCCAGCGAAGAAAATGAAGATAGCTAGGGTTTTATTTGAGTTTTCATTTTTCTATACTTTTTATTACCCACTTTGCTACATTTATTATCCCTCTTTACTGATATTTTTTTTACCTCAGTATCTTCTTTTCTGTTCACTTTTCATTTTTCTATACTTTTTATTACGCCACTTTGCTGATAATTTTTTAGGAAAACTAATGAAAAAAACGTGAAAACTTTGAGTTTTAATGATAAAGACAAAATAAAGTGTAAAATGAATAGTATCAAAATTGACTTTTTAGTATTAAAATGTGATTTTTCGTTAAAGTGAACAATATCGTGGGTTTTTCGTTAAAATTTCCTAATTTTTTCCCCACCATCTTCCTTTATGTTCACTTTTAGTTAAGAGTTATACAAAGTATTATATATATATATGTGTGTGTGTGTGTGTTCAAAATTTAGGTTTCTTAAGGCTTCGCCTCATACCTCAAGGATTTCGCCTAGACAGGACCATCCATGAAACGTCCCATCCACACCTTTTTCCTTTAAAACATTGACATCATCTTATGCAAAAAATATACGTTGATTGAAGCTTTTGAGGTATGTCTTGTGCCTCTTTAACTTCCATTTCTGAGGGGTGCTTGGCAAACAAGTCCCAGAAAACCTCGTTTACAGTCAAATGCGGCGTTTTGATTCTCGAAGTGTTTTTCACTAACATTAATAGTTGTCACTTGGCTAATCAGATTAATACATTTGTTTTAATACACTCTTTGGACCATACAAGCCACAACATCTCAGAGACCTTTCACATAAACTTCATGATTGTAAATGCAATCACATATTTGAAGGCCATACCAAAAAGGTTTTGCCTCGAAAGCATAACCACGCAACTTGCCAAGGACGGCTTGACCTAGTTCTTTAGGTTTTGGAAAAGCTCCGGCAGATGGGCGTTTGTAAGCTTGGTCCTCTTTGTGATCTCGTGCTTCTTCTTCTTGGGTTTGGATTTGCTAGGAATGCCTTGACTCTGTGCCAAGGCCCTTCTTTTTGCAGTATCCGTGGCCGGCTTCATCCCATTCTTCTGGAGCTCTTTCTCAATGTCAATCATATCACGCGGCAACTCAATCCCCCTAAAGAGCACCTTAAGGTCATCGTCAACCTTGGAGGCAGGCAACCTGGGGTCGTTTGGATATGCTATGTCCTCTTGTGAATCAAAGTTTGAAAGCAGCCAGATATCACCCGAAGCTTTCAAAGCCTAGAAAATAATTTCTCTTTCTAAGATTCCACAGTAAGAGTAGAAATCCAGAGACTACAATTTACATCACAGCATATAACAGCAGCCACAGAAGCCTCAACCAAAAACTGAAAGTTGGGATGAAAAAACAAGATGCACAGCCATTTTCCTTCATAAAATCAAAAGAAAGAAGAAATCTATTACGACATCTTTAAGACCAAAGATGTAGAAGTCTCTTTTGGGGTCACCATACCAAGCTAAAGGCATTACGAAAGGTTCCTAACAGGTTCCGCCATAATGGCCTCAGTAAAAGCAATAGGGCTAAAGAGAAATGAAAACTTCAATTCTCTGTAGTTCCTCAAATTCCCTAAATATGCAAAAGTTATAAAGACCCACGGACATTCCATCCGTGTACTTTACAAGGTATAACATCAAAACACTCTGGGACCTCTCTTTCGCACACAAAGACAGTTGCATTATTTTTTGGGTAGGGGGAGGAATCTCTAAGATATCTAAAAGGTAAATACAGTATTGTATGATGTCATCTGCTATACCATGATTCATCAAATAAGTAGAACATGTACAAATAATATATACCTGTAAATCGTCCATCACATTTGGGTAAGCATCCTTGAGATCAATGACCGGTATACCCTCTGAAAATTTCCGTACTAGGGACAGAAGCTGTTTTTTGTCCATGATACGATGTTTGGACTACAGATAAAAAAATACAAGTGAAGATGTCATCCTTCATGGAGGTTAAACAAGAAGGCCATTTATAAATAATTCAAATGATATATAAAATCATAGGCGTCCTGGTCTACTCGGGCAGATAGTTAGATAAAATTCACAGTTACCTTATAAGAGAAGCTCTTCCCATCATAAGAAACTTTTAGGTTATTCCTCAGACTGTCAAAGACAGCTTTGTTAGCATTCACATCGACATAACATTCTTGATTAATTTGCTCTGGTGTATATGAAAGCCTTGTCTGCAAAAATATGTAAACACAGAGATTCAAAGTCATCAGATAGTCCTATCCAAGCTGGCATCTCTCTTATCAAAAAGCAGGAAAGAGAAAACAACAAAAAAGAGCTGGGAAAGGGAGGGAGAGTAAAAGGTGTTTCCAGGAAAGCACCAAATTGCTCCAACAAAATTATAGATTAATGCCAATGTTAGCACCTAGTGAATTTCTAATTGCTACAACTGAACCCATGGCGAAGCTAATATTTTTAAGCACAAAAACTCTTCCATCTAAACTGATACTCCCCATCTTAACCTCGCAAATATTCTGTTATAGGCATCCAGAAGATCAAAAATAAGCAGTCCCTACCAATAGCCATCAGCACAGCCCTCTTGTATATATTATATACAAATGCTGACTTATTTCTTAAGTCTGTTATTTGTTTATGTTTTAGTAGAAACAAATTTTAATGCAGAAAACAATAACATTACACAAGCAATGGACAAGATGGCCATAACAGGAATGCAAAAGTATAAGAAAAATCATGGAAGCAAGTGTTCTCAAACAGTAAGACATAAACCACATAACACAACACGATACCTAGTATATAGCAAGATCAACCCCTGAATACTAGAATAAGATCAAGCCCTGAATTCTCTATTGAGGCCCATAATGATGACCAAGATAAAAAAAAATTCCAATAAAATCTGTGTCCCACCACCTGCAACATCTTCGAAAATCATAGCCAAACATCCCAAATAACTAGCCAATAGTATGCACCCCCATAAAACTTTGGTTTTCTTCTCCCACCCTGGTAACTAAATTTCTCAGATAAAACGGAGAAAATATACTGCAAACTCCCTGAACAAGCACCACCAAAGGCTCAAAAACCACAGGACAACGTATAAAAACATGATCTCCAGATCCCCGTGCTAGCATAGGATGCATCACTGAGGATAAAGGCATGAGTCGGCTCTCCTCCTTGGAATCATGCCCGGAGTATTGACCTTTTTATGAGCCACTAACCAAGTAACAAACTTCACTTTGGGAGGAATTCATCTTTCGTGACCAAAACTATATATACAAGTACAACTCACATATGTTCATCAACCACAGGCAGATGTAGAAAATAACGTACAGCCAATTATCTATACCCTTGCTGCTCACGCTGGGTGCTCTAGATACTGATCAATCATCAGCTTTACATCGAAAAAATTTCTTGCTATGTGTATCTCCAAAAAAAACTACAAACATAACCAATTTTGGTATGTGGTATTTTACAATTTTTTTTTATCATTTTGTTAAGCAAAAAGAGGTTTTTTTTTTTTGGGGGGGGGGGGGGGGGGTGTGTGGGGGGAGGACACAGAAGTCACCACTGTCCAAATCCGCAGGCACACCAATAAGTTACATGCCAAGAATATCTGCACTAACCTCTACCAATTATCTTGAAATGACGCTGATAAACAAATTGTAATGGTACACAAAAAGCCTGCTCATTACAACTACCGTACGGAACAACAGGTAACTGAAAACATGGGGTTCAGATGAGCTTGTAGCTCAACCATGGACACCTCAATTTCTTTTCATGAATCGTGATTCAAAGTACACACACCACACAGTTATGATTTATTATGATTCATTAGGAGAGTTGTAAATGAAACAATATAATAGTCATTTACATCAAGCAAATAAAGGGACAAAATGTGGGTTTAGTTCGAACCTCCCGCAACAGGTCTATAACACGCTTGATCTGAGCTCCAACAGGGGCTTTCCGTATGCTATTAATATGTTGAAGTCTCTCCGTATCATTTGAAAATTTGACAGCTGGAGCTGGAGCCTTAGTGACTGCAGGCGCAGGTCTTGGTGTTGCTGTGGCCCTATCAGATGCAATGCCGATAAGAAGTGACTGTGCGCTCTCTTGCTGCTTCTTGAACCTATTCAAACTCTCTTTCAACGCCATCTGCAATTCACAAAGTTTACTTAGAACTCATCATCTGTTAAAACAGTATAGAAAGATGTACTAAGTAAACAATGCAAAATCAAGCTTATACACAAATATCAAAATTGAAACTAAAACAAGCTATTGCAAGCGGTGGATTACACTGGATAGGGCCTTCACCTTCCCCTTAAACCCACTGCATCCGAGGTTCAAACCCTTCCCCACCCTGTAGTTTAAATGAATTTAGTGTAAATTATCGGATTGATTGTCAAAAAATCCAGAATCTTTCAATCTCCAAGAGTACACATGTAATCTCAAATTACTTCATTTCAATTGATTTTTATTATCAAGCTCCAGTTTTTTGATTAAAAAACGAACATGGCATATTTCTAACACCAATCAGAATTTGAAAAAGATTTCCCAGGTCACTAATGAACATATTGGAATCGATAAAATCATAAACCCCTATCTCCAATTCATCAGAGTAAGAAGTAAGAAAAAACGTAATTTCAAGTAAAAACCCACAAAAATCCAAATTTTTTTCCTTTTTTAATTTATAATTTACCCTTTCAACTTCTGGGCGCTTGCGATGTTTGCCTAATTCCCATCACAGAAAACAAACTGTGGGACCTAAACATGGTGTGTAAATAGATGAAACGATTCATGAATTCAACAGAAAAGGAACCCTAAAACAGGTAATCGAATACGTATTCGGGTAGAAATTTGAATTTTAGATGGATAAAATTCGAAATTAAGCACTAGTTTCTACATACCCAAAAGCTAGAGAGGGAGAACGAGTAGCGAGAGAACAAATGCTTACCGAAGACAGCTCGAGAGGACTCGGATGAAGGCTGCTACTGTAAGAGATATGAGACGACAAATGGGGGGATCGGATGCTTACTAAAGCGACGAGAGAGAAGAGGAGGGACAGAGTTTTATTTTATTTTGCAAAATCAAACATTTTAATTTTGATAAATTATATTTTACCCCTTCTTCGGGTATGGGCAGGATTTGGAACCTCGTTGGATCCTCTTCCTAGGGATCCTAGACATCAACGAACACAGACCGTTGATAAAAAATCGTACGGTTCTAATTAAATATTTTTTATATTTTTAAAAGTAAAGCACCAACGTTTTGCATAAAAAATATAAAAAAGAAAAAAATCGTGGCTACAACATTTTTGATCAACGGTCCGTGTTCTTTGATCCCTATGATCTCCAGAAAAGGGATAGGGCAAGGATCCAAATCCTATGGGGCAACTGTAACCTCATACGACAATTAAAAAAATTTATTAAATTTGTCGTTTGATAGCAAGAAAGCACAGTAAAAGATTTAATGATGACCTATTTTTGAATTAAAATTTAACGACAGGTGATCGATCAAGTTTAGAACATATCTTAAAATAGTAAATACAGTAATAAATCATACAAAGAAAAATGCAAAAATGCAAGGGGATAACAAGGTATAGGTAGCAACAGAAAATAATTATTTATACACCTTACTTTGGGTTCAATCCATCAATTTTCGAAAGAGGATCTTTCTGGATCTAGCCGTTCATTGTATATCGTGCCATTAGTTTTTGTCAGATACTATTTACGTTTAAATTTAAATAAAACAATCAAATGATTTTTAGCCTTACGATACATGATGAATGGTTAAAATGTATATATTCGATCCAAATTCCCAATTCTCTTCTTGCAATTTAACCGAGTTACACTGTTGTTTGTAAGGAAAAAAATAAAGAGGGAGAGATTGAGAATCGAGGAACACGTGTGCCGCAACATTTGACTCCGGTCCATTCCAATCCACAATGTTCACTAATATACGTTTTAGCTGTTTGCTAATTCTCAATACACTTTCACTTCCGTTTTACTTCACAGGACCTGGAGACACCAAACACCCTCGATAACACCCAAACTTTGATCGCCGAACAACGCTCAGATTCCCGCGTCTCATCACTGGAGACTTCGTATTCCTGGCAAAATGGTGGCCAAGAGCTCGCCGGACTGGCTCCCGCCCGGCTGGTCCGTCCAATCCAGAGACCAAAAGAGAGGTCGCAAAATTGAGGTAATACTTTCGCCAATTTCGTTCTTCTGTCTTCCTAGGGTTTGACTTGAAACCAGACAATCTCGGTTTTCAATTGGTCCCGTTAGCTTGTGGCTGAGCTGCCATGGTAGAAAGCTTGTAGCTTTGATTGCGTTAATTTGGCCCGTGTTTCTCTCTTTAGCTTCATACAAGTTTTCTATGATAACTGCATGTCACATTTTCATGGCCTTGATGATTTCGATGATATGCGAGTGCGCCTGTTTGCGAAAAATGTGTGCTTTGTTGATGAAAAGGAGTTGCATGTTGGGTGTTGCGTGATTCCGGTTGTTTTTAGCTAATAAGTTTTGCATTTTTAGGAAATTCTGAAGGTTTCTGTTCTGGGATTAGTAGATTGACTTAAATTAATTGCTGTACGGTCTCAAGCCGTGATTGTTTGTTCGCTGCACGGAAACAGTCTAGTTTGTAATGGAAGATTTTGTTGTGCTCAGGGTTTGGGGAGTGTGCGTTGTCTTTCTCTTGCGTAGATTCCAAAAGATGTGCATCAGGAGTTATTGATGGATCTTGCTGCCCAAAAATGACTGTTTATTAGGTATAGATGCGAACGTCAGTGTCATGGCTCATTAAACTCTCTTTGGGGTTTTTTGTGTCATTTCTGGTGTTGATGACGGACGTATTGCTTGAGCTGGCAGTTGCAAAATGACTGTTGTGAGTGAAGTATTGGAATCTGAAATGAAAATGGATATCTTATCGTCATATTGGAGGAATAATGTTTAACTTCTTCCTATTCTGTTCCAATCTTGATGACCTAATTGAGCAATATAGTTAGAAAAGATATTAACTAATATGGAAACTTTACAATCAAAAGATCATGCCATTGTGTTATCACTAAGCTCATAATCACTTTGGTGTCTGCAGTTTTATATCCATTTGGAAACTGGGAAAAAGTTCTTTTCTAAGGATGATGCTGTGCGCTTTATCAAAATGGAAAACACGCGCGGTAAAAAGCCTCAGCCAACTTCTGTGCAGATCCCAAACCACTCAGAAGAAGTTCCTTCTCAAGTAAGTCTTTTTTCTTTTTTAGGCTTTTCTCTAAACCATATGCTAGGTTCATCTATTTGATTGGGCTTGTTTGTTATCAAAAGCTTGAAGTGGACCCAACCGAATATCCTGAATGGTTGCCTAATGGTTGGAAAGTGGAGCTGAGGATACGACAGAGTGGTGTGCAAGTTGGAAGAGAATACAAGGTAATGTTTATGTGCATTTTTTGTGTGCCTTGCCGTTATTGTCTAGTGAATTTATACTTAATACCCTTTTAGCATTTTATTATAACGCCATTACTAGTGGCTTGGCAATTAATTTTACCAAGGAACTCCTGGTTTGTTATTAATCATGATTTAGCTAGTATTCCAAAACACATGGTCGGCCTGGCACATGCATATTTGACATGGTTGTGAGATATGTCAGGGCTCAGTATTTACGTTTGTATCAATGACTTGATCGCATTTCACATTGAATACTTTTTCTAGTACATCAGATTTTGCCATCCAAAATTTGGCCCAAGAGTATGTCAAATTAGTTGTGCACATAATAGTGCAACAGTTATTTTACCAAATATTTTAGTAACATTCCATTGCATATTAGATGTCAAACATTCAAAAAGAAAAGGTTGAAGCAAGTAATAGTTTATTCCTTTGAATTCTATAGGTTAGAAATAAGTATTAGGATAATGGTTTTGGTCTGTTTGAAGGATGCTAGGTGTTAAATTACATTGTATTTGTGTAAAAGTTATTACTGCACTTATTCATATTAATGCTAGGTGTTAAACTATCTTCTATGAAGGATGCTAGCATTAAATTCTATGGTGCCACTATTATCTTTGGTGCTATTTTGTCATTAAGTCGTTAGCAAAGATTCCTGTATGGTAGAATCCTAGAAATTGTTTACCTTTTATTAATGTCTTGCACACTTGTTCCAACCATAAACTGTAATATCTTTTCTAAATCCATTCACAATGAGATTGTATGTTGTTGTATTCTGTGGTCTAATTACCTGTCTTACGTACAACTTAAAGCGCGGGTTGATTTGGTTTTACAAAAATAGTCTTGTAACTTTCCTGTTAAAGTTGATAGTAAACTATGAAGAAACATTGACTTGAGCAATTTTCCTTTTGCAGTGTTACATTGATCCCTCCAGAGAACGTACATTCTATTCCAAGCCAGAGGTATTTCGGTATCTCAAAACTGTAAAACGGAAGAGCTCGAAGTCTGGAAATCTCAAATCTATAAGCAGCAAGAGATGCATAACCGAAGGGAAGGATGTCACTACCATGCAGCTGACAAAAAATGTTTGTTTCATTTGATATTCTCTTGCTGTAATTTCTTTTTCATACTTATTTGGATGGGACAAAAATTCTAAAAAAATTACCCAAAAAGAAGCTCCATGGTTTATGAATTGAATTCCTCCGTCCAAAAGAAATCAAAATCTAGCTACAATCAGTTTTCTTTAGAAGCTGTGTTCTTAACTTCGTAGAAAAGCCTAAAGTAGAGAACACTTAGCATTTTACGTGATGTAATATTTTAAGGAAGTTAACCATTTGAGTCCTGATTAAACTATCTGCCTTCTTGGTAAATTTTTCCTACAATCACATTCCATCCCATAAATGGCCAAAAACGTCAACCTGATGACTACTAGAATTTTCCTATCTTTTTACTTTTTCATATGGTTGAGTTCCCCTTGGTCATTATATCTGGGTCGTTTAGTATATAAAAATCAAAGCATGGAAAATGGTATAAGATTTCTGAGCTAAGTCATTATCTGCTTCTACCTTAATCACTGGAATCAAACGGATTAGAGAATTAGGTTCCTGCTGAAATATTTGTATACGGGTTGTTGGATAAATATAATTTTGTGGTATTTTAGGATCACTTTTCCCGCTACTGTTTTTTGATATAACTTCTCCTACTATTGTTGAATGATGATGTTTTGGGTATACCTGAAAGGTAGAACAGTGAACTATTTCACTAAACTTTACCACTATTAGAGCTTAGTCCAGCCTGCCAGACATCCATTGTAGTTTGATTGTGAAAAAGAGAAGTTCTAAACTGTATATTATGTTTCGTCTAAAAATAAATAAAAATAAAAGAAAAGTAATAAACTGTTTCTGCGAAAATCATCCTAAGCCTGAGGTGCCCTGATATTGACGGCACCTCATTTCCATATCGAAGTATGAAGATGGTAGTGTTAGGGGACTACTCACTGCAGGTTTCTATTGTATGACATACTGAAGCTACCGAACGAATGATTGCATTCTGTTTATGAAATTCATGTTATTACATTTGTTTAATCCAATGATTGTTGATGTATAATTTAGGTTTATGTTGAGAAGCATCATGTGGAGGATTTACCACCGGGATGGATAAAGGAGATCAAAGTTACAAAGTATGCAAATCGATTTAGAAAAGACCCGGTATAGAATCAGTTACCCTGATACTTATTCCAGCTGATGTTGGTTCTGTTCATCACCCCATCTCTCTCTCTCCATTCATAGTACACATGCTCATGTGCTTTCCATGCTTAGTCTTGCTGTAGTAATAATCCAACTAGTTGCAGTTTGTTTCTATGAGTTCTTGACTATATATTATATGCTGATTTTTAATGGTCCATTCCTTTGGACAGTATTACACAGATCCAGACTCTGGATACGTGTTCCGCTCCAAAAAGGATGTTATTTGCTATCTAGAAACTGGAGAGATCAGTAAACATGCATTTAAACCCAGGAATATGTGCGGGAATGTTCTAAAGTTAGCTAATGATGCAGTAAGTGCTATATCCATGCTGTTTTTTTTGTTCCCCCATCACCAATGTTCTCTGTTGCTGCAATGTTGTTGTTCACTAGTGCAACACCAACATTATTTATTTGTATAAACAGTTTTAATGTTTAATGGTATCAGTTTGGAGTTTACACTGTAAAAAATCAGAATGCTTATTGTTGTATTCTTTGGAAGCTTTAGTGCTAAAACATTAGGTTACATGAAAATTTAGTGATCATGACAGATACGGTGTGATGCATGTCTAACATGTGCAGAAACAAAATAAAGTTCAAGTGATATTCACTTATACTACTTTGAAAGACAGAATCTTTTTAATTTAAATCACTTATAACACTTTGAAAGCATGTTCCAAGTAAAAACAGGGAGGACTAGGTGGAATTTGGGCTCTGATATTTTTTGTATAACATGATTAAGCTTAATCCAAAACAATACATCTCTCAGTCCCTGATTGAAATACAATTCTTACATTTATGTAGCAGTGAAAGCTTTCTCGTGTTGTGGGGTTTTGATTTTCTATTTTGTTAACGCTATTTAAAGCATCTGTTTTTCATAATGGTTTTGGAGCATTGTTACTGCTTTGGCTAAGATTCTTTCATGTTGTGGTAGGCCAATTTCATGCGTATTAACTTCTTACCCATTTTAGTGAAGATGGAATTTAACGTATTTAAACATAAAGTTGCTGTTTTCACACTCATCTGTTCTACTGTTCTGTTTACCTGTCTCTGAAAGAAATAGAAGGTATTCAGTAAATTCTCTTTAATGAATAAATCATAAAAGTATTAAACCAAGGAACTCCAAGTCAAAACTGATGTTTCTCTATAACTATGACCCTCTGAATGTGGTAGGCTTGTTAGGAACAATTTTATCTCTTTTATTAGTTATCTGTTATATCTGTTGTGCACGAGGGACATTATATTAATAATATGCTTTTCCTTTTTTTTTTTTTTTTTTTTTTTTTTTTCTTCTGTTACTGTAGCCATCATCTGCAACCAAAAGGAGAAAACTTGAGCATCCTGTCATGAGGAGACAGGTATCACAGCCAAAAATTGAACTCCCTGACAGACGTGAAGGAAATATGTTATTTGTTGAAGTTGAAGGTTCTGTGGTAGACCCAGGAAAAATGAGTTCTGCTGGAGATGAGCCTGGTTTGACTCCTGCTATTAGTCTGAACGAGAACAATTCACTTGAGCCTGTGATGGAAAAAAGCAATGTGAGGAGAGCCCTAGTACACTCGAGCAAATCAAAAAACAAGGAAATTCATAATTTGTCTCGTCGGTCCTCAAAACGACTTGCTGGGATCAGTTTAGAACTACCAGAAGCTGGAAGCTCCAAGTTGTTAGACAAAAGGGTACCCTATGAAAGTGGAGTGGCCTTTGGTTCGACAACTGAGATTGTCCAAGAGAAGCATTTAACTGGGAACATGCTTGAAAAATGTGCCGAAACTAAGGAAGATAGTTCTCTAAACACTCTGGAAAAAAGCAAAGGCAGGAGAGCCCTAGTAGACTCGAGCAAATCAACAAACAAGGAAAAGATCAATTTTTCTCGTCGGTTCTCCAAACGACTAGCTGGGAGCAGGTTGGAACTACCAGAATCTGAAAGCTCCAAGTTGCAAGACAAGATGGTACCCTCTGTAAGTGCAGTTGCCTTTGCTTCGACAGCTGAGGTTGTCCAAGAGAAGCGTTTAGTTGATGACATAGTTGAAAATTGTGCCAAAAATAAGGAAGATGGTTCTCCAAGAAGACCGTCACAGGCAAAAGCTGAACTTTCTGACATACATGGAGGAGGAAAAATCGATGTTAGAAGAGCCTCTGTAGACTCAAGCAAATCCAAAAACAAGGAAAAGTTTAATTTGTGTCGCCGGTTTTCAAAACGACTTGCTGGGAGTAGGTTGGAACTACCAGAAACTGAAAGCTCTGAGTTGCCAGACAAGATGGTATCCTCAGTAAGTGGAGTTGCCTTTGCTTCGACAGCTGATGTTGTTAAAGTGAAGCAATTAACTAATAACATGCTTGAAAAATGTGCTAAGACCGAGGAAGATGGTTCTCCAAGCAGGTCATCACAGCCAAAAGCTGAACTGTCTGAGACACATGAAGGAGAAAGGTCATTGCTTGAAGTTGGAGGTCCTTTGTTAGACCCAGGAAAAATGATGTGTACTGGACATGAGCCCCTTTTTACTCATGCTGCTTACACCCTGAATGAGAATAATTCAGTTAAGACTGTTTTCAAAAAAAGCAACATCAGAAGATCCCCAACAGGCTCGAGCAAATCAAAAAACAAGGAAAAGCTTAATTTGTCTCGTCGGTCCTCAAAACGACTTGCTGGGCTTGAACCAGAGGGGGCTGCTAATTTGGTTTCCACTGAACGAGCTGTTCAAGCTGCAACTAGGAAGCCTAGTAAAAGTGATTCTGGTCAAGATGTAGGTTTGGCTTCAGATCTTGTAAGTAGAGCATCTCAGCAGCTTGGGGCTCCATCAGAAACAAAGGTAACGCATCATACTTTAACTGATTTAAAATCTGCATCACCTGAGCAGCCATTGGACAAGGGAGATATGCAACTTGATGACCAAGTGGTTCCTAAGGAGCAACAACAAGAGCTGGAAACTGAGAAAGGGGATGCTGAGAAGCCAGAACCAGAGCTCAGCATTCTGTTTGGTTCAGACCCCTGCCTAGAATTTGCATTCAAAACGCTTACAGGGGAATTGCCAATATTTGATAATGTGGATAACAGGCCTATTCTAAGACCTGCAGCTGATATGATGGAAAAAGAAAATTCATTTGACGGTGGAATGGAAAAGAACTGTAGTAGAAAACCGAGGGCTAACAAATCCAAGGACAGTAAAGAACTTAAGTTGCCCCGTTGGTCTTCAAATCAGTATGCTGGGGTTGAACCTGAGCTGCTGGCCAGTACTATGTCCGAGGAACGAGCTATTAGAATTGCAACAGAAAATTCATGTAAAAGTATAGCCATCCCAGCTGTGGATTTGGCAGATGAAGCATCTCAGCCGCTTGAGATTACACCAGAAGCAAAGCTTGCAATTCGTCCTTGTACTGCTATAAACAATTCAATGCAAGAGGAGCTGTCAAACAAGAGCGTGAAGGCTCTTGAAGAGCATGCTGTTCCTCAGGAGAAACCCCAAAACTTTGAAACCGAGAAGGCACATGTTGAGCATCCAGAGCCACATTTCTCTTTCCCTTTCATGGATTCATGGTCCGACCCATGCCTAGATTTCGCATTCAAGACTCTTACAGGTGCAATTCCATTAGAGGATGATTATTATCACGGTTACTTCCAAGAGAAACTTGACACCTCTCACAACCATAGAGATAGTTTGGCACTACCAGATTTTGGCACACCTAGCTTGTTTCAAAGTGATATTTTACCTCAGTTTGATCCACCAGAACAATCTGTTTCTGGCCAACAGTTTCCCATGAATTCTGCATTCCTGCCTTCAGGAAATGTGAGCATGCCCAATTGCAGTGGAATTGGTTCAGGCCAACAGTTATCTAGGAATCCTTCATCCCTCCCTGCAGGAAACGTGAGCATGTCAAATTGCAGCGGGGTTTGTTCAGGCCAACAGTTACCTATGAATCCTTCATCCCTCCCTGCAAGAAATGTGAGCACGTCAAATTGCAGCGGGGTTTGTTCAGGCCAACAGTTGTCCATGAATTCTTCATTCCTGCCTGCAGGAAGCGTTAGCATGTCAAATTGCAACGGGGTATGTTCAGGCCAGCAGTTATCCATAAATTCTTCATGCCTGCCTGCCGGAAATGTGAGCTTGTCGAATTGCAGCTTGGTTGATTCGCAGTGGCCTTGCGTAGGAGGCAGTAATGATTACCATGGAAATGTAAAGTCCTAGAGCGAAGGTAGTTCCTGTCTGCAAGTACACAGGTTTCTGTAAGTTGTACATTTTGAAACCTTGTAACTGTATGTCTCTTGTGATGTAGCAATGTAACCTATGAAACAATTCATGATAAAATTTCACATTGTTTAATAGAATGGTAATACAAATAATCTAATAAAAGACGACCCCTTAATTGAAAATAGAAGAAATAAAAATCCAACTCAATAAGCATCACCTCTAAGAACATTTTTTGTTAAAAGAGCACTGTAGGATTTTTGTGAAGCACAAAGCACTATCGGATATCTATTCACAAAGCTATTCGTTGATTAAAAAAAAAAAAAAATTCGTTGAATTAAAAAAAAAATATTCGTTGAATTAAAAAGAAGAAGAGGTAAGATGGAAGACAACTTGCAACAGTCACATAATCAGTAAATAATTATAATAAATGTTTGAACTAATAAAAAGCTAATAAAAACATTTAATAATTAATTAAAAATTATTTGAAGTTGTTGTCAAATTTGACAGCAACTCCTATGTTGCTATTTCATGTCATGCCACATATATAGGAACTGATATTTTGGTTGGAAAACACTAGTGCAATCTTCTTTTTTTAACTGTTATTGATGATGTTGACCACTTGAGTTGTATGTCTGGAAAGGATTTTAGGCACCCACTAGTTATTAGTACCCGCGCGTTGCTGCGGGTTTTAAAGCAGAATGAAATGCTATATTAAAGACTTGAAAAATGGATTTGCAAAGCAGTAACAACACTAATAACAAAGAAATTGGAAAAGCTAGAGAAAAGCTTGAATTGTGAGAATATAGGGATGAACTTGGGAGTTTTTTATTGGATCACAACAGTTACAACTGTTTTTGGATTAGGATGATTATTTTTACAGACAAAAAATTAGCAAATACTTTCATATGGAGATACAAAAAATATTAGAGCTATATATTCTACTTTAGCAACCCTATGTGCTCTAAAAACTAAACCAGCTTCTGTACACAAAAAATTAACAAATGCTGGTATATGGAGGTACAAAAAATATTGTCTAGTTTTGAGCAGAAAGTGGTATTTACAAACTACCAAAGATCTTAGACAATGTTTAATATAGAGTAACAAAAGATGCAAAATATTCTGTAGTAGAGCATGAAAGGTCTTGTTCCAGGAGCACTATCAGCATTGACATTGAGAAACCAAGCTACACAGAGAAAAACAATGGAAGGCATTTAGACAGTGATTAAGTTCACATTTGAGCAGTTTTTAAGCAAAAAATTTAGCAAAATGAAACCATACTTACCTAGTTCATTTTTGGAGGGATTGTATTTGTTTTTGAAGTAGCTGGAGGCGGTTTTTTTTTTTTTTTTTTTCCAGTGATTTGATAGGCATTTCATCAAATTCTTTTGGGTCAACTTCTGAAATTTCTTCTGCCTCACTGTTTTAAATGGCCATGACTGATGAGCACATTTTATTGCACAAAACATAAAAAATGTTGCCCAACTATAATTCGTTATACTCTTTACTCATTTTAAAAAAAAAAAAAAAAGATTCTTCACAGGTATATTTTAAGCGAAGCAAGATAGGCAGAAGATATGCATGTTTGAACACAGGGAAGTAAAAGAAAAGTATCAGATTTGATGACAATATGGAGTTTGAATCAAAACCTCTCTTCACTGCCAGTAAAAAGAGCTTTCCTCACGGACTCCCTCTTTCGCTTATGTGATTCTCCGCTTGTTTCAGGTGGTGAGGTCGAAGATGATACAGTAGTGGAAGATACTGTGGCTGCTCTTGGTACATTTGTGGAGTTACCCGTTTTATAGCTGTCTTGCCTGACACATTGTAAATCAGCACATCACTTTTTTGTAAACTATTCTTTCTATTTTCGAACCGCAAGTGAAAAATCTTCTTTTGTCCAATTAGTCGCAAAAACTCATTTGGCAGTTGTTGGTCAACCAATCTCTGATTCATGACCAAATCTTTGCAGGCCATACCAAAGTGTTTTTCTTTAGCTTTGCCAATTATCAAAGCATTGATTTCATTAGTGTTGTCTTTAAGAATCAAATTAACTTTGTACCTATATTTAAAAATTGAGTTGCATGAGTTTTTTATGGTTTATAACTCATTGTTAACAATTAGAGCAAAGAACTTTATACAACAGAGGTTACAGATTTGAACTCATATTTTACTTGCAAAGAAACAGCACGGAGTTGAAAATTGAAGAAAAAGTAAAAAAAGACAGAACAATAAACTTGCATATTAAATGTTACCAGGGTGTTGGAATTTGGTTGGGGTGTTTCTGACAAATGAGTTGTCCGGTCGCTGGGTCCTTATGCATTTGCTTGACACAATTGGGGTAAGCATTGTACCACCAATCATAATGTGTGTCGAAACGTTTGATAGATGCTTTACATATGAATGTATCATTCTATGAAATGTTTTGTGACACGTGTATCATAAAAGAGCAACAACAAAATTAGTTTTTGTTCAACATGTAAAAATGCAGGTTCATGCTTTTTTTTTAAAAAAAAGATAGGAACGCATAAATCGTTTGTATACCTTATACATATTAGGATCCAAAAAGGCCAGCTCATCTACTGTTACTCTTCTCGCAGTACGCAGAATTTCAGCCTCGTTTGCCTGCCTTAAAGAAGGAGGCAGTATTTTTACAGGGACTTTACAGGTTGAGAACCTGCAAGTTTAAAAACAAAATAAAGAATTTTGAAAAATCAGCATGTTTGGAAGTTTAAACAGGAAGCACGATTTTAGATGTGCACTCACACTAATTTATATGAGTTAACCTCTAGGAAGTTTCGGTCGATGAAAAAAAGTGAGGAGCCAATACTATTCAAGACGATGTTGTATGCAGATGCCAAAAAATAATAACAGAATTATAAAACAAACATTAGTAAATATTAGAGATGAGTAAGTATTTTTAATTGAATGATAGATGTTTAAATGCGAGAAAAAAATTGTAATGAATACATTTAAAAATGTGGTAAAATAATTTGAACACGCAAGACCAGAAACGAAATACAAACCGTAATGAATAGATTCTAACAGTTGACAATTAAGAAATAAAAATGAAAAAAAAATTCTGTCATAAGGGATAGCAACCGAATACACTAAAATCGCATAATGATAAAAGAGTGGAAAAGTTTATAGCAACAAATGTAAGAACATAACCAAATAAAGATAGAAAAAGTGGGTTTTAGTTAAATGAGCTACCTGGGTAAATCTTGACTTTTAAACTTGTAAACACAACAATAATTGGCAAAGACAACTTCTGGATCGATAAAGAACAAAAGCTTCTGCAATATTTACCCACAACATAACAGACAATTCTTCTTTTCTGTGCACAAAATAAATGAGAAACAAAGACTAAATTTTCTTCCCACCCTAACAGATAAAATGATATTAACAATTTAGAATTGCAACAGTTAAACAAAAGAACAACCTGATATTCTCAATGTATATGTCACATTTTTGTGCTATACTTCGATTAATCTATTTTGGTTCCAATTGCTGGACCGCAATTATATGGCCAATCACATCTTATAATTTAAAAAGTTAATACAAAAATAATGTCAAAACTCATTTCACCGAAAAAACAACAGAAATGTTTTTAATTGATGGACATGTAGATACACACACATATAGAGAGACATATATACACGTATTGATGTTACTTGTAAGAGTATCATCTCTGTTCAGACGGGGATAGAGCATGTTAAAATCTAGTAGGAACAGCCGATGTCGAGGGATGGGTGGAAAGACGGTAGAGAGTTTTTTAAACACTGTCGTAGCGATGAATATAACTTGGGTATCATGCGGCACCACTTTATACGGTCCTCTGATTCTAATCGTGCGAAAATTCACGATTTCGTAGCAATTACCGGCATCAATCTTTGAGGCTACCAGTTCACAATGAATGTCTGATGCACATATTTCAACCGCGTTGTTCTTTGTAATTGCTCACGTGCCATAAAAAACAAGAAAAAAAAAAGGAATAATAACAGAATTAAAAAAGTTATGAACAAATAAATAGCAAAAAAATTATATTTTGGCACAGAGAGATTGAATGAGCACAGTGGGTAAATAGACTAACTGAAAATATGTAAACTATGACAACCAAGATTTACAAAGGACTTTTACACGTGAAAAAATCAAACTGTAAACTATATATATATAAACATGAATATAAATTAACAAACTAACAAATGAAAAATAAAAAAATAAAAAAACTGATGGCATAACTATAACTGTTAAAATACTTAATTAAAATTATGGGACAATGATGGCTCACCATTTCATCAACATACAATGTAGTGTTATGTATTTGTGAATAGTTATAGAAATGCTAGATTTCTATATCATACACACACGAATCTTTATTTTGTTTGCTTTAGTGTAAGCGCACAATTCTGCAATAGGGGTGACCTTGACTGTTTCCATTGAATCTGTTGAAAGTGAATATAAATTTTATAAAGATAAGAATCACCATAATCAAATCTGAAAACAAATATGAAAGAAATGACTGATTTGTTTCATTCCTAATTAAGTAAATGGTCAAAATAATTTTAACATAACTGTTACAAAATCGATAACCACAACACAAACTCGAAACTCCAAAAATAAAAAGGACTGAGAAAAGAAATAAGCCAACCAAAAGTAATTAAAGAACTAAACTTGATAAAAAAAAAAACAGTTCACATTAGGATAGTAACACAAATGACCACACATTAACCGATGACATACAATAACTATTATCAAACACTCAACACATTATGAACGCAATAAAACAATGGTTGCAAAAAGCAAACTAAAGAAGAAACCAAATATTACAAAGACTAAAACATTACTTACCAAAAGTGAAACAAAATGTGAAGCACTTGTCCTGGAAGGGAAAAGTAGGGTTAAAGAGATATAATCAACTAATTTACCACAGTGCAATGGATAAACCAAAAAGAAAAACACTAAGTAAGTCAGTTTTAATACATTAAGAAAGAAATAAAAGACAGTTATCTCTGTCAGGTGGCATGGGTGCAAATTCTTTTTTTTTTTTTTGTCCATAAATATAACTTTACATTAATGTGAAATCGAAATAAACCAAATTTGAAACAATCAGGTATCCATGGTACTCACCTAAATTTCAACGCATCCACAACAAATTTTATATTCTA